CGTGCGAGGCCGATGCTAGGAGGAGCTCCGGTGGAGGCGAGGCCAACGCTCCCCGCGCTAGGGTTTGTGGCGGCGGCGGCGGCGGTGGAGGGGTCGCGGCTGTAGGATGGGATGAGCGGGGTGCCGGCGCGTGCGTCCATCGGGTCCAGTTCGCCGGCGCCGGCGCGCGTGGGGTGAAGGTGGCGGGGAGGAGAGAGTGCGGCGCGAGAGCTCGTGTATTGGCGATTCGGACCGCGCACCCAACTTCATATCCTGCGTGCGGTTATTGCGCGCCTGCTGGAGCCACTCTACCGGTTGCGCACGCGCTAAAATGGCTAAATTTACGGCGCGGCGCTTGTTTAGCGCGGTTGTTAGAGATGCTCTTAGGCGTGGGCTTTGCCGGTTGTGTCCGTAGCTTCACTAGCTACAGGAACAATTTTTATTTTTTCATTCACTCATTTCCCTCCTTTTTTACTCTATTATTCTTTTTGATACCCAGTTAAAAACTTAGAATATTGTTTCGAATACCAAAAAATGTTTTGTATTCAAATATGGTTTACAATTTTATACCCGTGCGCTGGTAGCTGTGCCGAGTGCGACCAGTGTGCATACAGCTCGATCGGCATGCGTGGACGAGTCAAAAAAAAAGCTACTAGTACGTACTAGAAATGTAGTAGCAGTAGCTGAGACAAAGCTCACCATAGCCGGCGCGCATTATCACAAGCACAGAAGACATGAAAAATGTCTTCACCCTCTCTCCACATACTAGGAGCTTCTTGTGGAAGTTAAAAAAAGAGCATAGAGCTCTCGGGCAGCTATAAAAAAAAAGCTACTAGTACGTACTAGAAACGTAGTAGCAGTAGCTGAGACAAAGCTCACCATTGCCGGCGCGCATTATCACATAGCCAGTAAGCACTTTGTACTGTGAATTGGTCATTCTTCTTTGGTTCCCAAGCAATGAAATCATCTCCAAAACGCGGACATAGCCATATACGACAAATCGCTTGGACATCCACAGGCAAGAAGAACAGATTCAAACGGGACAAGTTCACAGGTTGCCTCGGACCGGTTTGCGATGGAAGTCTCAGAAGGACCCGTTGACAAATCTCAGCTACTTGGATGAGATGTAGAGCTCCAAAATTAGAAAACGAGAGTCGGCTCACACAAACACTATGAGACCGGCGTTTGTGCTCACGAGGGAAAGCACTGAACACACGGGCAGACACAATGACATGTTTCATGTCATGGTTCTAATAGTAATAGCTTGAACATGACCCGAATAGACTCAGTGTCGGACAGTCTCCAGACATGGCACACACATTGCTCCGTGTTGTTTATTCGCATATGATTGTAGCAACATCTTAGATAAGACGGATGGAGTAACATACAAATACAATCGTGCATTTTGGTATTTTTATATCGGCAGCGAACGCTCACTGCTCAGTAACAAATAACTAAATTACTCTTGACCGGCATATTTGTATTCCCATTCTTGGTATAAGTTGGCCTCGAGCCTACTTTGGAGGATAGCGCGGGAGCGGCCCCGGCCGCACCTGGTAGGAAGGGCAGGGCCGGCCCTGGGTAGGGGCAAGAAGTGCGACGCCCTAGGGCCCCACCTGATGAGGGGTCCCAACCTGTGTGGTACGTACGCTATACATCCCATCATTTTATTGTTCAGCCAATCGTTTCTTCAAGTAGAGTTCGGATTCTATCGATCTAACCAAGGGGCTAACGCCACAGCCGCTGTTTCTTCTCCCCGCATCTGTTTTCTCGTTCTCCATTCCGCTTCTCTTCCGAAGCATCTAGCAATGATTATGATTGGTTCCGTTGATCACTCTTAAATTTTTCATCACTACTACTCGTACCTTATGGATTTCTCTTTTCTTTTTCTGCAGCACGCTACCTATAAGTACGTCACATCCTATGAGCAGCCGCAGGGGGTAGGCCAGCCGAACCACATCAGTTATGTTTGCTTTGCAACTAGGATGGACACCGCCTCAAAAAGTTCTAGTAGCTTTTCAGTCTGTTTTCCATTTGATCTTTGTACTCAATTATGTAATTTGAGCTCACTAGTTGGTCTTCTCTTTCTATACAGGTTTCTCAAACACGAAATTGAGGATGGAGCGAGGTCGAAGATGTTTGGAATTGGCTAGTTTAATTTCTACTTTTCTCCTCCAACGATTCAGCTGTCCCCCCTCCTTTCCTGCAGTATATGTATAACCTAAAAAGCTTTGTTGGTTGTTTGCTAAAATTTACCATGTCCCTGGTGTATTATGAGATCGTATTTGCTAATGAATTCTTGGTACTGTTGTTTAGTTAGATGTTTGAAGTCTGATAAACTTTTGTGATATATATCAATATGAATGAAATTATTGACTATGTCTTTCAAAAAGAAATGTCTTTCTTTATGGGGCCCACTTTTGAAGCTCGCCCCGGGCCTCAGAAAAGTCAGGACCGGCCCTGAGGAAGGGGACGCCCAGGTTCCCCTCACACTGTCTCGCTTCACGTTGCTTAAATCACCTGCAGCATTAGACATGCGGGACATCACGTCAGACATGCAAAAAAATGTTTATATTCGAACAAAAGGGAGAGGTAAAATCTAGAGTTGATACATACCTCTGGCGGCGAACGCGAGCGAGGCGAGCACCACGCACAGGAGCGCAGCCAAGTTCCTGACGAGAGCCATAGTTGAAGCCTCAAGGAAGGAAGGAAGGAAGGAAGGATGCGTGTGTTACTTCTGTGCTTGGAGAAGCTAATGCCTGCACAGCTGCACTGCACCGATGCCGTATTTATACCCGTGCGCTGGTCGCTGCGCCCAGTGCGACCAGTACCTGTGTGCATAAAGCTCGATCGGCATGCGTAGACGAGTCAAAAGCCAGTCCGTAGAAATGTAGCGGTGACTAATTTGTCCGCAGACTTTGCGGACTCTGGAGGCTACGTTTCAGCTGAGCGGCTGTCGTTGAACGAACAAAAGTCAGCGTTTGTTTTCCTGACCATCCGGAGCAAGAGGGAAGCTCTGCCTTCTTATATATGGGGCCAGTTCTTTTGGCAATTTAAAAAATAAGCCGCCTCATCCTCAGTTTTTTTATAAGCCGCCTCTTTTATTCATTGAACTTCTAAACTAGTTATGAGATAATTAATTTAGAAGTCTTAACAAACTTAAATGATGGCTTATTTTTTAAGCTAGGGAGAGGCAACTTATTTTTTAAGCCGCCTAAAAGAACTGGTCCATGATAGCGATCGACTACTGAGTCCTGGTAGGTGGGTCCAGCTTGCATGCAACAAGAGCCTCTCGGCATCTTTGACTTTTCTTTCTGTCGCATGACTGAATGAGGCACTCTTTTCGTAAAACTAATAAAAAAGCGATTAGATAACTACTTTCGTGATGTAAATGTTTTTATATTAGTTTACAGAGTGAGTATTTGGTTGATTTACTACCCCTATAAAAGAAAGAGAAGGGCAGATCCAAACAATTAGGTCCATTCATCAATAAGATCTAATGGTCCTTGATCCTTCAGTGTTTAACACCGCCATCCACGCATTAATAAGCCACTAACACTGCACCGCAGTTAAAAAAGAGATGCCAACAACGCACGACCTATCGCCCACTCCTCCTCACGCCCGCACGACCTATCGCCTCCTCCTCCTCCCAACGGACGTCACAGCACGGAAGGGCAGCCGCGGGAGCCATCGACCGATGGAGCCACCCTTCACCGTAGGTCGCCGCGGGAGCCGTCGCGCTCTTAGCCGCGGGAGCCGCCGACAGGGACGCCGCCGCGATGCCGCGGGAGCCGCTGACGGAGCCGCCCGCCGCGCCCTTCGAGCCGCAAGTCGCCGTTCCTCTTCTGCTTCCCAGCGGCCAAATGCGAGCGTACAACCAAGTAAGTTTCTTTTACATAGTTGTTTCTTGGTACACTGAAGCTCAACTATTTCTAATGACGATTTTAATCATCTGATAGCCGAGCAGCTAAGTCAACCGCTTGCCTCATGGCCTGAATCTCAATCGTGAATGCATCAGGGACATGAGCCATCCGGCCAGCTTTGCAGGCCACCACATCCCGAGCATGATCCCGAACCACCACACCCCAGGCTGCATGATATTGGCCTGGAACAAATGCGCCGTCAGTGTTAAATTTTAGCGTACCGGGTTGCGGCGCTCGCCATACTGCTGCCTCTTTCTGCACACTCTCCTTTTTCGGACACATAACCTCCATACCGCTGCCTCTTTTGTATTGAAGGATGTACAGTTGTACACTGAGAACTCATTTAGCGGCGCTAATAATCATTTGACTAAATGATTCAATACTCAATTCATCTTTGCTCCATTAGGCCCACGAAGCCATGCACTGAGGTGCTCAACGAAATCCTTTTCCATGAGCTAGCTTCTTTTCTTTCTTCATCTACAAAATTCAGCACATGGTTGTCTAAATATGTGCAGCTTTGTGTAATGGCAATTTGTAGATGACACAATGAAATTATTTAGATATAGCTGAAAAACGTTAATCTATTTGACAAAATAATGGCATCTACAATAGTTCTGCATAATGAAGTTAAGAACAATGTCTGTGAATTCTGAAGATTTTTAATAGTTCTGATGTATGTTAACTTTATAAAATACATGCCTTAGCCACCTTCTACTCTTAGTCCTAAAATAATCATTCTATTGGGTGAAACACTATATATTTCTGTGAGTGCTAATTGTGTATTGGTCAAATGGAATTAGTAAAGTAAAACATGATTGTGGAGTTAACCATGTCACCCTGTTAGTAATCCACACCAGTCCTGTAGGTAACTGGGTCATCACACACAAGCAGAATCTGAATATACGATGAGCAGTGCTTTCTGCAAAACTGCAATTATCTAACTTTTAGCATATAAAAGATCAAAGAGAACAACACTTGCTAATAGACAGTAGTGCATGAGTGCTACATGCTACAAGTTTTGTGTAAGTATATAGACAGTAGCGCTCCAGAGTGTCCCACTGTATATAAGAATTTTTACCCCTCCACTAAAAGATCTATTGGTAATAAATATTTCTTATTGAGACAAATCGTCTGCTGTTCTTTTGTTGAATGGATACAAGGCACCCTGCAGCCTCTCTACTTGCAAAATAAATGCTCTTCTTGGTACACTCATGACAGTAGACCTTTTAGCTCAAGTTATAGAAGTATATTTTTTAGGGTGCTTCCTATTTGGATATGACGTGCTTTAGTTGGATTGGCTAAAAAGATTGAACATTCCTGTAAATGTATTTGGTTCAAATTTTTTTCTTCAGTTGGAGTTGCAAAAAAAGATCGAACATTCCCATAAATATGTTAGATCTCCTTTGCATTCGCACAAAAAATGTACCTCATCAATGAAATCTCAACTATGTATGTTTCAACCATGTTATGTCAAGTTCTCATTGTTTTGATGGTTTCTAGGAGCATGTGGCAGAGGAGCGGAGGCGTGGGACGCAACATGGGGCAGAGGAGCAATGGCGTGGTGGTTACGCAGAGGGAATGTTCGTGAGGACGAAACGGTACATATTTTTAGGGGCTAATTGCTGGGATTAATTAAGCATGCACTTAACGTGGTTGATGGTTGATGGCTTGATGCTCAATATTGGGAGGATTTCAACTTTCTCATTGATGTGGTCTATGGCGAGAGCAAAGTACAAATGTGATTATTTAAATATATGGACTAGCTAGAAAGCATACCAAAAATATGCTTTTTGAAAGTACCCTTTCCTCTGAACATGTATGTGTCCCAGTGCTCCACATTCCATTGAATTCTGGACAAATATGCTACTTCCTATCACTACCTTTTCCTCTATTACTTTATTATATCTTGCTAATTTTGCCTTTTTTTAAAAACGCAGTATGCTAATTTACCCTTTATATCTATTACTGAATTTGTAGATGATTAGATTTTCAGAAGAAAAAAAAATCTATTATGATATCCACATCTTGGCAAATTGGCACCGACAAGAAGAAATAGAGTACCGCAATTCAAGTTCATGAAGTTTATGCAGAAATATGTTTTACTTCTAGAGCCTACTAGACTTGGGGCTAATTGCATTTGATTGCTGAAGTACCAGTCAATCTCTTGAGACTGGATGATGTAATTATTGCAGATCTCTGGGTTGTATGGTAGATGAGAAATAACGGTATGTTCAGAGGGGATTTTAACACCTTCCAAAACTATTAACATTTCTTAACACTCTGTCATGTTGAGCGGGCAGACTCACTTGCCTTTTAGACTTGGTTAGCACTCCAAATGCGGCATTTAACCTCTCGCTGATGTACCATTATCATCAAATTATATTCAAAAGTTTGACTCTCTTTGTTAGATCTTTCATACCAGAACACCTTTGCACTTTACATCTGCAAAACTAACATAGAATGGGTACAAAATGGTTTGATGGAGAATGATATGCCATAAGAATAAGAGATCAGCATCATTTTTTATCTAAAAGTGTTGCTTCTTGCAGGTATGAAGTAGTAACTCCACTAGAGAACATCATGGATATGGAGGTGGAGCACCCATGCTTTTCATAGATATAGATACTGATATTGCCATGTTCCGGTGAAGGGTAATCATTGTCATATGTGTATTCTGGAAGTTGAAACGATTAAATACATAGTAAGGGCTTCTAAGTCATGGTTACTATGACTTACCACATGGATGGACTTTCCTGTCTCATAGCTTCTGTCTGAATTGCTCTCACTCATCTTGAGTTCTTGACTAAGATATATGTCTGTGCAGCCCCTGAGGATTTGGATGAACAGTATGTCAATGTCAACCTAGATGATGGTGACTTCTTCTGCGTCGAGCATCATCATCAAGGTATTTCTTTCCACAAACAGAAATTAAAATGTGTAGTGATGGATGAAAATGGAACCTAAATTAAAATGTTATAGCTTGGAACACACTTGTATGCACCAGTAAATTCTACTGGCTACCTCCATAAGTGAAGCACAAACCTTGGTTGATATGATAGTAGACTGTTGGCTGACAGAAACCAATACCCGGATTTGTTGGAACTAGAAACTCCAACTTGTAATGTACTTTCACCATCAACTGCTAAGCCATTAACTTTTTAGTCTTTATGCGTGAGCATTAGGTTTGCGGAAATTATATCGTTAGGTATAATTTTTGCTTACAAACATGCTCTGAAGTCTGAACTGGGATGTGTCCATCTGCTTGGAGCTCCAAGATCCATAGAGCAGACAGGTCAGAAGAAATAAGATTGACCTTCTTCCGAAGAAAATAAAATGAACTGTGCTAAGTTGCAATGATGTTGATTGGAGAAATTATCTATCTACTACCACTATAAAAGCACGAAGTGCGGAGATCCAAAACAACATCTTACGCGTCTATTGATCTCTATACGGTCCAGATCGCCACTAAAATGTGTTTGATTAAAACTCCTGTTTAGCAACCGCAATCGTGGAAGTGGTAATCAAAACAGGAACCACCGCACGCCGCACCCGCACACGTCCATTCTCATCCCCGCGGTAACCTTCACGACTAAATCCACCACTCACACCTCCCCCACCCGCGTCGTCTCCTCCTTCCCGCTCCCTCCCCTCCCCCTTCCCTCGCCTTCTTCGAATGGAGCCCAGTGTAGGGCCTCCACCAAACCCTAATCATTCGGGGGCGGTGGCTCGCTCGTCCGCCCGCCACCCGACCTCAATCTGATTG